GAGCACATCCACACACTCCTGTGAGCACATCCTCACACTCCTGTGAACACATCCTCACACACTCCTGTGAACACATCCACACACTCCTGGGAGCACATCCTCACACACTCCTGTGAACACATCCACACACTCCTGGGAGCACATCCTCACACTCCTGTGAGCACATCCTCACACACTCCTGTGAGCACATCCTCACACTCCTGTGAGCACATCCACACACTCCTGTGAGCACATCCTCACACTTCTGTGAGCACATCCTCACACTCCTGTGAGCACATCCTCACACACTCCTGTGAGCACATCCTCACACTCCTGTGAGCACATCCTCACACACTCCTGTGAGCACATCCTCACACTCCTTTGAGCACATCCACACACTCCTGTGAGCACATCCTCACACTCCTGCGAGCACATCCACACACTCCTGTGAGCACATCCACACACTCCTGTGAGCACATCCTCACACACTCTTGTGAGCACATCCTCACACTCCTGTGAGCACATCCTCTCACACTCCTGTGAGCACATCCTCACACTCCTGTGAGCACATCCTCACACACTCCTGTGAGCACATCCTCACACACTCCTGTGAGCACATCCTCACACACTCCTGTGAGCACATCCACACACTCCTGTGAGCACATCCACACACTCCTGTGAGCACATCCTCACACACTCCTGTGAGCACATCCTCACACTCCTGTGAGCACATCCTCACACACTCCTGTGATCACATCCTCACACTCCTGTGAGCACATCCTCACACACTCCTGTGAGCACATCCTCACACACTCCTGTGAGCACATCCACACACTCCTGTGAGCACATCCTCACACTCCTGTGAGCACATCCTCGCACACTCCTGTGAGCACATCCACACACTCCCGTGAGCACATCCACACACTCCTGTGAGCACATCCACACACTCCCGTGAGCACATCCTCACACTCGTGTGAGCACATCCTCACACTCGTGTGAGCACATCCTCACACTCCTGGGAGCACATCATCCCTGTGTGTACATCTTGACTCCTCTGTGTGTACTACTTCACATCCCATCGTGAACATCTCTACGAAGGGATGTACACGATGGGATGTACTATCCAAGGATCGGAACGGAAAAGATTAAATTACCGAAGAGGAAAATATGATGAGATGAGGAACTTCCTAAGAGGAATACCATGGGAAACAGAACTTAGAGAGCAGACTGTACAGGACAAGATGGATTATGTCCCCCAGAAGTGCCAGGAAGCTGCAGACAAGTTCATCCCGGTCCAAAAGGAGAAAAGCGAAAAGCAACAGAATAATCCATGGGTCAACCAGGAATGTAAGGTAGCGAAGCAACTGAGTAAAAGAACATGGAGAAACTACAGAAATAACAGAACACCAGAGAGCAGAGAGAGAAACCAGAGGGCCAGAAATGAGTACCTCAGAGTGAGGAGGGAAGCAGAGAGACAGTTTGAGAATGACATCACGAGTAAAGCCAAGACCCAACCAAAGCTGCTCTACAGCCACATCAGGAGGAAAACAGCAGTGAAGGAACAAGTAATGAAACTGAGAAAAGGTGAGAACAGATACACAGAGAAGGACAAGGAGGTGTGTGAAGAACTCAACAAGAGATTCCAGGAGGTCTTCACAATAGAACAGAGAGAAGCCCCTGCACTAAATGAGAAGGAGGCAAACCAAGCAACCTTGGAGGAATTTGACCTCACCAGTGATGAGGTCAAAAGGTGTCTGCTGGAGCTGGATGTGTCAAAGGCTGTTGGGCCTGACAGAATCTCGCCGTGGATACTAAAAGAAGGTGCAGAAGCACTAAGTGTGCCACTCTCTATGGTGTATAACAGGTCACTGGAAACAGGAGACCTACCGGAAAGTTAGAAGACGGCTAATGTAGTCCCAATACACAAAAAAAGTGACAGGCAAGAGGCACTGAACTACAGGCCAGTTTCCCTAACTTGTATACCATGCAAGGTGATGGTGAAGATTGTGAGAAAAAGGCTCGTAGAGCATCTGGAGGGAAATAGCTTTGTAACACACCACCAGCATGGGTTCAGGGATGGTAATTCGTGCCTCACAGGTTTAATAGAATTCTATAACCAAGCAACAAAAATTAGGCAAGAAAGAAAAGGTGGGAAGACTGCATTTTCTTGGACTATCAGAAAGCCTTAGACACATAAAAGGCTGTTACAAAAGTTGGAGCAACAGGCAGGAGTAAAAGGTAAGGTGCTCCAGTAGATAAGGGAGTATCTAAGCAACAGGAAACAACGAGTAACTGTGAAGGGGGGTGGCATCAGAGTGGCGAGATGTCACCAGCAGGGTTCCCCAGGGCACTGTACTTGGACATCCTGAACATCCTGTTTCTAAAATATATAAACGATCTTCCAGAGGGTATAGACTCATTCCTCTCAATGCATGCTGATGATGCAAAAGTTATGAGAAGAATCAAGACAGATGAAGAATGATGAAGAATTCCCTTGGGAATGAGTGACCACAGTGTATTGATCTTTGAGTACCTGGTAGAGCTAAGAATTATCTCCCCCAAAAAAGAACTAGGAAACAAAAGTCTGGCATACTAAAAGGTGAATTATGAGGAGATGAGAAGTTTCCTAATGGAAATACCTTGGGACACAGACCTCAGAGCTAAGTCTGTACAAGATATGATGGACTGTGTCACTCAAAAGTGTCAGGAGGAAGTAAACAGGTCCATCCCAGCCCAAAGGGAAAAATCCGAGAAGCAAAAGAAGAATCCATGGTATAATAGGGCATGTATGGAAGCAAAGGTACTGAACAAAAGGGCGTGGAGGAACTTTCGGAATAACAGAACACCAGAAAGCAGAGAGAAACCAGAGAACCAGGAATGAGTATGTTAGTGTGAGAAGAGAAGCAGAGAAAAGTTATGAAAATGATATAGCAAACAAAGCTAAGACTGAACCAAAGGTACTCCACAGTCATATCAGGAGGAAAACAACAGTGAAAGAACAGGTAATGAAACTTAGAACAGGCGAGGACAGGTATACAGAGAATGACAAAGAAGTGTATTAAAGAACTCAACAAGAGGTTCCAGGAGGTCTTCACAATAGAACAAGGTGAGATCACTGTGCTAGAAGAAAGGAAATGAACCAGGTGGCCTTGGAAGGGTTCGAAATTACGAGAGAGGAGGTAAAGAGACACCTGCTGGATCTGGATGTTAGAAAGGCTGATGGTCCAGACGGGATCTCGCCATGGGTACTGAAAGAGTGTGCAGAGGCACTTTGCTTGCCACTCTCCATAGTGTATAGTAGGTCACTGGAGACGGGAGACCTACCAGAAATATGGAAGACAGCGAATGTAGTCACAATATGCAAAAAGGATGACAGACAGGAGGCACTGAACTACAGGCCAGTGTCCTTGACTTGTATACCATGCAAGGTGATGGAGAAGATCGTGAGAAAAAACCAGGTAACACATCTGGAGAGACGGGACTTTGTGACAAATTGCCAACATGGGTTCAGGGAGGGTAAATCTTGCCTAACTGGCTTAATAGAATTCTATGACCAGGTGACAAAGATTACGCAAGAAAGAGGGGGCTGGGCGGACTGCATTTTCTTGGATTGTCGGAAAGCCTTTGACACAGTACCGCATAAAAGGCTGGTACATAAGCTGGAGAGACAGGCAGGTGTAGCTGGTAAGGTGCTCCAGTGGATAAGGGAGTAAATAAGCAAAAGGAAGCAGAGGGTTAAGGTGAGGGGTGAGACCTCGGATTGGCGTGAAGTCACCAGTGGAGTCCCACAGGGCTCTGTACTCGGTCCTATCTTGTTTCTGATATACGTAAATGGTCTCCCAGAGGGTATAGACTCATTTCTCTCAATGTTTGCTGACGACGCCAAAATTATAAGAAGGATTAAGACAGAGGAGAATAGCTTGAGGCTTCAGGAAGACCTAGACAAGCTGAAGGAATTGTCGAACAAATGGTTTTTAAAGTTTAACCCAAGCAAATGTAATGTAATGAAGATAGGTGTAGGGAGCAGGAGGCCAGATACAAAGTATCATCTGGGAGACGAAATTCTTCAAGATTCAGAGAGCGAGAAAAAGACCTGGGGGTTGATATCACGCAAAACCTGTCCCATGAAACCCAAATCAAGAGGATAACATCAGCGGCATATGCCAGGTTGGCTAACATAAGAACGGCCTTTAGAAACTTGTGTAAGGAATCTTTCAGAACTTTGAATATCACATATGTCAGACCAATCCTAGAGTATACGGCTCCAGCATGGAGTCCATATCAAGTGAAGCATAAGACTAAACTGGAAAAGGTTCAAAGGTTTGCCACCAAAGTAGTACCCGAGCTGAGAGGTATGAGCTAATACCTTTCATGAGCCATAGTATGAGCTATGAGGAGAGACTACGGGAATTAAACCTCACGTCACTGGGAGACTGAAGAGTTAAAAGGGACATGATCACCACTTACAAGATTTGCAGAGGAATTGATAGGGTAGATAAAGACAGACTATTTAACACAAGGGGCACACGCACTAGTGGACACAGGTGGAAATTGAGTGCCCAAATGAGCCATAGAGACATTAGAAAGAATTTTTTCAGTGTCAGAGAAGTTGACAAATGGAATTCATTAGGAAGTGATGTGGTGGAGTCTGAATCCATACAAAGCTTTAAGTGTAGATATGATAGAGCCCAGTAGGCTCATGAACCTGTACACCAGTTGATAGACAGTTGAGAGGCGGGACCAAAGAGCCAGAGGTCAACCCCCGCAAGCACAACTAGGTAAGTACACACACACACACACACACACACATATATATATATGTACTCTCCACTGAGTACATATATACCTTAAAAAATATACAAGCGTTTAACCCAGAAACATAATGCCTTCCCACCTGATATATTCATTAATTTGCATACAAAGTGTCACATTACCTTCGTTACAAAAATAAGCCCAAAAAAGCATCATAGCGCCTGTGAAGGGAGGTAGGGAAATACAGTGATACAATAGTACAGTTTGTGATGGGTAAATACAGCAGCTCCAAGCCGTCAGCAACCATAGAACCCTCAGCCAGAATACAGCCGGCAGCAACCATAGAACTCTCAGCCAGAATACAGCTGTCAGCAATCATAGAGCCCTCAACAACTATAGAGCCCTTAGAAACTATAGAGCCCTCAGAAACTATAGAGCCCTCAGAAACTATAGAGCCCTCAGAAACTATAGAGCCCTTAGCAACCATAGAGCCCTCAGCAACCATAAAGAGCTCAGCAACCATAAAGAGCTCAGCAACAATTGAACCCTCAGCAACAATAGATCCCTCAGCAACAATAGATCCCAAAGCAACCTTAGAGTCCTCAGCAATCATAGAACCCTCAGCATCTATTGAGCCCTCAGAAACTATAGAGCCCTAAGAAACTATAGAGCCCTTAGCAACCATAGAGCCCTTAGCAACCATAGAGCCCTCAGCAACCATAAAGAGCTCAGCAACAATTGAACCCTCAGCAACAATAGATCCCTCAGCAACAATAGATCCCAAAGCAACCTTAGAGTCCTCAGCAATCATAGAACCCTCAGCAACTATAGAGCCCTCAGAAACTATAGAGCCCTTAGCAACCATAGAACCCTCAGCAACCATAAAGAGCTCAGCACCAATAGAACCCTCAGTAACAATAGAGCCCTCAGCAACCATAGAGTCCTCAGCAATCATAGAGCCCTCAGCACCAGCTAGAGCACTCTCATTACTGCTGTTATAAACAAAAACATCACTTGTAGCCGGGGCCCAGGAGCTGAAGACTTACATATGACGTACACTCAGTTATGAACAAAATAATTCACAGCCGAAGGCGGCGACCAAGAGCTGAAGCTCAATACCGTAAAAGTGATGAAGGTCATGAAGGCCTCATGACCTTCATCACTGTAGTCATCAATATAGACGACCTTCATCACCTTCCCTTCCATGGATGAACACGTGAGGATGAACACGTGAGGATGAACACGTGAGGATGAACACGTGAGGATGAACACATCAGGATGAACACGTGAGGATGAACACGTGAGGATAAACACGTGAGGATGAACACGTGAGGATGAACACGTGAGGATGAACACATCAGGGATTATTGATCCTTACTGGTATGAGAAGGAGTTGAGGGTGTGGATTGGGATCTAACCGGCGGCCATAGACTCCCCCAGGCGCACACACACTACCCACTGAACCAGGATGTGCTCAAATGTTACCTCACTCTCAGTTGATAGGTTGGTCCTTGGATGTCACAGCTGGTGTATACACTCTGTGGTGTAGCCTTGGTGTATACACTCTGTGGTGTAGCCTTGGTGTATACAGTCGGTGGTGTAGCCTTGGTGTATACACTCTATGGTGTAGCCTTGGTGTATACACTCTGTGGTGTAGCCTTGGTGTATACACTCTATGGTGTAGCCTTGGTGTATACACTCTGTGGTGTAGCCTTGGTGTATACACTCTGTGGTGTAGCCTTGGTGTATACACTCTGTGGTGTAGCCTTGGTGTATACACACCGTGGTGTAGCCTTGGTGTATACACTCTGTGGTGTAGCCTTGGTGTATACACTCTGTGGTGTAGCCTTGGTGTATACACTCTGTGGTGTAGCCTTGGTGTATACACTCTGTGGTGTAGCCTTGGTGTATACACTCTGGGGGTGTAGCCTTGGTGTATACACTCTGTGGTGTAGCCTTGGAGTATACACTCTGTGGTGTAGCCTTGGTGTATACACTCCATGGTGTAGCCTTGGTGTATACACTCTGGGGGTGTAGCCTTGGTGTATACACTCTGTGGTGTAGCCTTGGAGTATACACTCCATGGTGTAGCCTTGGTGTATACACTCCATGGTGTAGCCTTGGTGTATACACTCTGGGGGTGTAGCCTTGGTGTATACACTCTGTGGTGTAGCCTTGGTGTATACACTCTGTGGTGTAGCCTTGGAGTATACACTCTGTGGTGTAGCCTTGGTGTATACACTCTGTGGTGTAGCCTTGGAGTATACACTCTGTGGTGTAGCCTTGGTGTATACACTCCATGGTGTAGCCTTGGTGTATACACTCTGTGGTGTAGCCTTGGAGTATACACTCTGTGGTGTAGCCTTGGTGTATACACTCCATGGTGTAGCCTTGGAGTATACACTCCATGGTGTAGCCTTGGTGTATACACTCTGTGGTGTAGCCTTGGAGTATACACTCTGTGGTGTAGCCTTGGTGTATACACTCCATGGTGTAGCCTTGGTGTATACACTCTGTGGTGTAGCCTTGGTGTATACACTCTGTGGTGTAGCCTTGGTGTATACACTCTGTGGTGTAGCCTTGGTGTATACACTCTGTGGTGTAGCCTTGGAGTATACACTCCATGGTGTAGCCTTGGTGTATACACTCTGTGGTGTAGCCTTGGTGTATACACTCTGTGGTGTAGCCTTGGAGTATACACTCCATGGTGTAGCCTTGGTGTATACACTCTGTGGTGTAGCCTTGGTGTATACACTCTGTGGTGTAGCCTTGGTGTATACACTCTGTGGTGTAGCCTTGGTGTATACACTCTGTGGTGTAGCCTTGGTGTATACACTCTGTGGTGTAGCCTTGGTGTATACACTCTGTGGTGTAGCCTTGGTGTATACACTCCATGGTGTAGCCTTGGTGTATACACTCTGTGGTGTAGCCTTGGTGTATACACTCTGTGGTGTAGCCTTGGTGTATACACTCTGTGGTGTAGCCTTGGTGTATACACTCTGTGGTGTAGCCTTGGTGTATACACTCTGTGGTGTAGCCTTGGTGTATACACTCTGTGGTGTAGCCTTGGTGTATACACTCTGTGGTGTAGCCTTGGTGTATACACTCTGTGGTGTAGCCTTGGTGTATACACTCCGTGGTGTAGCCTTGGTGTATACACTCCGTGGTGTAGCCTTGGTGTATACACTCTGTGGTGTAGCCTTGGTGTATACACTCTGTGGTGTAGCCTTGGTGTATACACTCTGTGGTGTAGCCTTGGTGTATACACTCCGTGGTGTAGCCTTGGTGTATACACTCTGTGGTGTAGCCTTGGTGTATACACTCTGTGGTGTAGCCTTGGTGTATACACTCTGTGGTGTAGCCTTGGTGTATACACTCCGTGGTGTAGCCTTGGTGTATACACTCCATGGTGTAGCCTTGGTGTACAGCCCGTGGTGTAGCCTTGGTGTATACACTCTGTGGTGTAGCCGTGGTGTATACACCAAGGAGGCCATACACGTCAAGTGTATTATTGATGATCCTTGCTATAGTCCGGCCTTGACATATACAACCTGCAGCAGACCAGGGAGTCCTACTGTATTATATATCACGCCTTGTATAGCCCTGGTGTATACAACCTGTTTGTTTGGGTTCCGAACAACTTGTCAGAAAAACCCACACCATTTACTAACTTACAATACATTATGCAGTTAATAATGCTGCTGATTTAGTACTTACAAATTAACACAAATGTATTTTATATAATCATGTCAAGAAATTCGAGTTTGTGACTTCTCTCAGAAAATGGGAGTTATTGCCACATCCCCAGATTAAATTTATTCATAATATTTACATTCAATAACTCTTAAATCACCATTCTGGGCACTATAAACAATAAAAAAGTGTTACCCACGACCGGATCTAATAAAATTACTAATAAAAATAGCGTCTTCCTCCGTTTGTCTATAAAATAGCAGCATTCTGAACCGTATTTTCGAGGTGTGGTTGAGCGGAGAGATGAGGGGAGACTCCTTTATTATACCATCAACAAAAGTCTCGTCTATGAACACCGTAGAAACCTTGGCGAATATTTCCTTCTAGACGCAGTGTGGTGGGGCGCCAAGTCTCCCATCATCATCACGTCTTCTCTATCCCATCAGTGAAGTGTTCTGAACGTGATAACCCGATTAATCTAGTTATCAGTGGCCGGTAGTATTAGCCCGGCCAGGACACGGGGCCAACCACCTGAAAGGGTAACTATCACTAATTAAACAGACTCATCATTTTCCCTGATATTGCCGTCAGATATTGGTCACCATCATTACTGTGTGCCCTCTTGATGGTGAAGTGGAAGAGGAGAAGAGATTAGCAGCAGTTACCTGGGACAACACGTGACATGTGATGCCGCGTGATGACGTGACATGTGATGACGCATGATGACGTGACATGTGATGCCGCGTGATGACGTGACATGTGATGATGCGTGATGACGTGACATGTGATGACGCATGATGATGTGACGCCTGATGATGTAACATGTGATGACGCTAGCCTAACCCACGAAGAGTACAGGTTGGCGAGATCTTGTGTGTTCATATCAGGTTAACTTGGTCACATTCTACAATACAGATAAGTTGGATTACATTAATTGTAATACTAACCAATTGTAAGGAATCTCTACCAATCGATTAATTTAGATTTGGAAGGCAAGAATTAATAATCACCCCACTTGTGTAGGACACTACTTGTGGGAAAATTCAGTCATATAGTCCACTGTAATATAATACAGTCCACTAACGAAAGAAAGAAATTAACGTATATATATATATATATATATATATATATATATATATATATATATATATATATATATATATATATATATATATATATATATATATATATATATATGTCGTACCTAGTAGCCAGAACGCACTTCTCAGCCTACTATGCAAGGCCCGATTTGCCTAATAAGCCAAGTTTTCATGAATTAATTGTTTTTCGACTACCTAACCAACCTAACCTAACCTAACCTAACTTTTTCGGCTACCTAACCTAACCTAACCTATGAACATAGGTTAGGTTAGGTAAGGTTGACACAGGTAGGGTTGGTAAGGTTCGGACATATATCTATGTTAATTTTAACTCCAATAAAAAAAAAATTGACCTCATACATAATGAAATGGGTAGCTTTATCATTTCATAAGAAAAAAATTAGAGAAAACATATTAATTCAGGAAAACTTGGCTTATTAGGCAAATCGTGCCTTGCATAGTAGGCTGAGAAGTGCGTTCTGGCTACTAGGTACGACATATATATATATATATATATATATATATATATATATATATATATATATATATATATATATATATATATATATATATATATATATATATATATATATATATATATATATATATATATTAAATATGACCGAAAAAGTAAGATTAATAATTCTAACACGAATTTTCTCAATCTTTCGTACATTACGCTTCACTGTTGGAGGTAAATCAAAAACTAATTCTCCAAAATTCATTTTTATTTCTAGTCTGACGCGACACGGGCGCGTTTCGTAAAACTTATTACATTTTCAAAGACTTTAGTTCACAAATACACAACTGAATAGAACTTACGTATCTCCGATTTTATATCTACATTTGAGTGAGGTGGGAGGGGT